AAAGCGTTCAAACACTTGAAGTTGCATTTCTTGGGCTAACCCAATATGCCTTTTACGCATGGCTATTTGATCCCCAAAAGTACCCACCCAAACACAAACACATGAAAACCATACCATGTAGGCCTCCTCTCTTTCTTTTCCTACAAAGGAAAGCTCACACTTGGGCTGGTGCCCTTCTTACTGAAACCCAGAAAGCTCATGCCCATGCCCTTCAACTTGGTACCTCGGATGCATTCTTCCATGCACGCCAGTTGTTCGACGAAACGCCTGACTTGAGCGTGGTATCGGCCACATCAATAATAGGCAGCTTTGCTCGGCAGCACCATCATGAAGAAGCTATTTATCTCTTTTCAAGAATGCTTCTTTTGAATGTCAGACCCAACGAATTTACATTTGGCACTGTCATTCACTCGTCAACTGCACTTGGAGACCTAAACATAGGCAAGCAACTTCATGCATGTGCAACAAAGATAGGTTTGCATTCGAACGTCTTTGTGGGAAGTGCAATGTTAGATCTTTATGCCAAGTTGAGCATTACCCAGGATGCTAAAAGAGCTTTTGAAGATACCCAGAAGCCCAATGTAGTTTCTTACACCACATTGATATATGCATACCTGAAAAAGGAGAAGCTTGAAGAAGCTTTGAAGCTTTTCCAAGTGATGCCAGAGAGGAATGTTGTTTCATGGAATGCAATGATTGGAGGGTATAGCCAAACAGGCCACAATGAAGAGGCTGTCAATCTATTCATTGAGATGCTTAGAAATGGGTTGGTACCTAACCATTCTACTTTTCCTTGTGCTATCATTGCAGCTGCCAATATAGCAGCACTAGGAATGGGCAGAAGTTTTCATGCCTGTGCTGTCAAATTCTTGGGTAAGCTTGATGTGTTTATTGGCAATTCACTAATAAGCTTTTATGCAAAATGTGGTAGCATGGAAGATAGTCTCTTGGTTTTCAACAAAATTGAAGAAAGAAACATTGTTTCTTGGAATGCTGTGATATGTGGCTATGCTCAAAATGGTAAAGGAGAAGAAGCAATAAGCTTTTTTGAAAGGATGAGGTTGTCAAGTTGCAAACCCAATAGTGTAACACTTCTTGGCTTATTGTGGGCTTGCAACCATGCTGGTCTTGTTGACCAGGGTTATTGTTATTTCAATCAGGCAAGAATTGAAGACCCCAGCATTCTGAAGCCTGAGCACTATGCTTGTATGGTTGATTTACTCTCCCGGTCCGGATGTTTCGGAGAAGCTCAGGAGTTTATCAGCAATTTGCCTTTTGAACC